AAGATTGCAATTAGTGACCAGGAAAAGAAAAATTGCTTCAAAATTATAAGGGAACATGAGAAATCAATCCAGCAGCTGCTAGATGATGCAAAGAGAGTTCTACGTATTTTATCTCCCAGTAGATTTAGTGTTTCTGTTTTAATATTTAGATCTTTGATCCATATCAATTTTAGTTTAGTGTTGTATAGTGAAAGATATGGGTCTAGTTTTAATCTTCAGCAAGAAATTGAAACCCAATTTTTCCAGCACCATTTATTAACGAGGCTATCTTTCCTCCAGTGAGGGTGTTTGGCTCCTCTGTCAAAGATAAGGTGGCTGAGTGTGTTTGGAGTTGTTTCTGCATCTTCTGATCTGTTGCATTGATCCTCAGGTCTGTTTGTTTTGGGGTGGGGTTTTTTTGCCAATACCATGCTATTTTTTATCACAGTAGCTTTGTAGTATAATTTCAAGTCAGGGATTGTGATGCCCCCTTTGTTTGCCTTTGTTGCCCAGAATTGTTTTTGCTATTCTAGATCTCTTCTGGTTCCAAATGAATTTTGGATTGTTTTCTCTAATTCTGGGAGATATGCTGTTAGAATTTTGAGCAGATTGCTGTAAATCTCTATAGCAATTTTGGAAGAATGGCCATTTTTACTGTATTCATTCTTTCTACCCAAGAACAAGGGATGTCTTTCCATTTTCTGATATTCTCCTAGATCTCCTTTTTCAGAGTACTGTAATTTTCAATGTAGAGGTCTTTAACTTCCTTCATGAGATTGATTCCTAAGTATTTCATTTTTTTGGATGTTAATTTCTCTCTCAGTGAGTCTATTCATTCATATACAGGAAGTCTATTACCTTCAGAGTGTTGACTTTGAATCTAGCTATGCTACTGAATTTGATTATTAAATCTAGAAGTCTTTTGGTGGAGTATTTGGGGTCTTGTATGTGGCGTATCATGTCATCTGCAAATAATAATAATTTAACTTCTTGCTTTCCTATCCTTATTCCTTTTATTTCTTTTTCTTGACTAATTGCTCTGGCTAATATTTCCAGAACTATATTGAATAAGAGCGGAGCTTGTGGATATCCTAGTCTTGTTCCTGATTTTAGAGTGACAGCTTCAGGAGTTGTTTGTTTTGTTTTGTTTTAGATACAGAGGATTGAACTCAGGACCTTGGACTTGCCAGGCAGACACATAGACGGCTTTTATCAGATTGACATAAAGACCATCTATTCCAATTTTTTTTGTAGGGTTTTTATCATGAGTGGGTGTTGGACTTTGTCAAACACTTTTTCTGCATTTATTGAGATGATCATGTGGTTTTTGTCCTTGGTTCTGTTAATGCATTGTATTACATTTATTGATTTGCATATGTTGAAAAATCCCTGCATCCCTGGGATGAATCCTATTTGGTCTTATGTATAATCTTCTTGATGATTTGCTTCATTCTGTTTGCCAGTACCTTATTGAGGATATTTGCATCAATGTTCACTAAGGAGATTTGCTTGTAGCTTTCTTTTATGGTTAGATCCTTCTCTGGTTTTGGTATCAGGTTAATGCTTGCTTCCAGGAATGACTTTGGGAGTATTGCTTCCCTTTCAATTTCATTAAAGAGTATGAGAAGTAGTGGCATTATGTCTTCTCTAAATTTCTTGTAGAACTCAGCAGTGAATCCATCAGGGCCTGTGCTTTTCTACCTTGATAGGTTTGTAATTCCATCTTCAATTTCATTGACTATATTGGTTTATTTAGAATTTTTATATAGTCTTGATTCAGCTTTAGTAATTCATATGTATGTAGGAATCTGTCCATTTCTGCTGTGTTTTCCATCTTATGAGAATCCAAATTCTCAAAGTAGATATTGATAATTTTCTGGATTTCTGCAGGATCATTGTGATTTTACCCTTTTCAAACCTCATTGCGTGGATTTTTTTTTTTTTGTACCAGGGATCGAACTCGGGTCCTTGTGCTTGCGAGACAGGTGGCAGAACCACTGAGCTAAATCCCTGGCCCTCACTGAGTGGATTTGAGGCTTTCTTTCCTTTTTTTTGGTACCAGGGATCGAACTCGGGTCCTTGTGCTTGCGAGGGCAGGTGGCATCTTTCCTTTTTTTGATAAGGTTGGCTAAGTGTTTGTCAATTTTATTTACTCATTCAAAAAATAACTCTTCTGGGCTGGGGATTTAGCTCAGTGGTCCCGCTGCCTGCCTCACTATCACAAGGTCCTGAGTTTGATTCCCAGTACCAAAAAAAAAAAAACAAACTTCATTGATTCTTTATATTGTTTTTCAATTCCATTGCATTAATTTCTGCTTTGATCTTTATAATTTGCTCCATCATATGAGTTTTGGGCTTGACTTGCTCTTCTTTTTCTAGAAGCTTGAGGTTCAACATTAGGTTGTTTATTTGAGCTCACTCTGATTTTCTGACACGGGAATTCATTGCTGTAAATTTTCCTCATCGGACTTCTTTCATTGCGTCTCATAAGTTCTGGTACGTTGTACTGACATTATCATTTATTTGTAGAAACTGTCTAATTTCTTCTGTGACCCACTGTTGTTCAGGAGAGTGTTATTTAATTTCTATGTGTTTATGAAGTTGTGTTTTTTTTGTTTTTTTTTTTGGTACCAGGGATCGAACTCAGCGCTTGCGAGGCAGGCAGCGGAACCACTGAGCTAAATCCCCCGCCCAGTTTATGAAATGTTTGTGAAGGGCTGGGGATTTAGTTCAGTGGTTCCGGCGCCTGCTTCAAAACCACCAGGTCCCAAGTTTGATCCCCGGGACTCCCCTAAAAAAGTTTTTGTGGTTTCTTCTACGATTGATTTCCAGTTTCATTGCACTATGGTCTGATAATATGCATGGGATAATTTCAATTAATTTGCATTTACTTAAACATGTTCTACAAGCTAGTATGTGGTTTATTTTGGAGAACATGCTGTGTGCAGTTGAGAAGAATTTTTATTTTGATTGGTGTTTTTAAAAATTTTTTTTGGTACCAGGGATTGAACTCGGGACCTTGCGCTTGCAAGGCAGGTGCTGGAACCACTGAGCTAAATCCTCAGAATTTTTTTTTGGGGGGGTACCGGGAATCGAACTCGGGTCCTTGCGCTTGCACAGCAGGCGACGATAAATCCCCAGAATTTTAATTTTGATGTGAGGTGGAACACTCTGTAGACATCTACTAAGTCTATCTGTTCAAAGTTTGGTTCAGTTCTGATATTTCTATGTTGATTTCTTATCTAGTTGATGTGTCTCTTTGTGACAATGCAGTTGAGGCCCCCCATTACAATTTGATTTTTCATGTCTGTTAATATTTGTTTTATATAGTTGGGTGTGCTATTATTTGATGTATGTATTTTTATTATTGTTATCTCTTCCTTTTGGGTTGTTCCCCCCCCCCCTTTTTTTTCTGGTACTGAGGATCAAACTCAGGACCTTACACTTGCCAGGCAGGCATGGTGCCACTGAGCTATATTCCCAGCACTATGGTTGTTCCCTTTGCAAGCATATAGTGACCTTCTTTGTCTCTCTTAATCAGTCCTGGCTTGAAATTCACTTTGTCAGCAAATAGAATAGTTACTGCTGCTTTTTTTCTGGATTCCTATTACGGGGAGTATTGTTTTCCATCCTTTCACTTTCCCTCTATCAATTTCTTTTGGAATTAAATGTGTTTCTTGTATGCAGCACATTGTTGCATCTTGCCTCTTGATCCATTCTGCCAGTCTGTTTCTTTTGATTTGGTGAATTGAGACCATTTACAGTGATGGTTATAACTGATATGTATTGACTTATCCTTGTCATGATATTTTTCTATTGATGGCTCTCTTTTTTCCCTTATTTGTTTAATTACTTGCCTTGCCTGGTGGATTCATTCTGTTGGGGTTTATGGAATTGTAGTCCTCATTATCTCTTTCTAGAATGTCCTTCAGAACACTTTGGAGTGCTGGTTTGATGGTCATGAATTTCTTCAGGTGTTCTTTGTCATGGAAATATCTTATTTCTCCATCAATTTTGAAAGATAGTTTTGCAGGGTACATCAATCTGGGTTGGAAATTTTCTTTCAGGGCTTGAAATACTTCACTCCACATTCTCCTTGACTTA